ACTTCCAATTGTAAAATAAATAAGTAACCGGGATGTAATGTATAGCATAAGGAATATAGTCAAAATATTGTAACAACTTTGTATGGTGATAGCTGGTAGCTAGAATTATCATGTATATAAATGTTGAATCACTGTGTTGTACACCTGCAACTAATGTAATACTGTGTGTCAACTACCTTTCAATAAAAAAAATTAAAAATAAATAAATAAATAAATAAACTAGGTTATCAATTGATCTACAAAAAAAAATTATGGTAAAAAACAGTAACATAAAATTTACCATCTTAACCATTTTTAAGTGTACAATTCAGTAGTGTTAAGAATATTCACATTGTTGTGCAGCCACTATCCATTTCTGGAACTTGCATTATCCAATAAAACTGAAACTCTATTCATTAAACAATAACTCTCCATTCTCTCTTCCCCCCTGTCCTGGGAAACCACCATTCTACTTTCTGTCTCTGTGAATATGACCACTCCAGGTACCTCAGATAAGTGGATCATAGGGTATTTGTCTTTTTGTGACCGGTTTATTTCATTTTGCATAATGTCCTCAAGGTTCATCATGTTATAGCATGTGACAGAATCTCCTTCCTTTTTAGGCCTGAATAATACAGTGGGTTTAGATCATATTTTGTTTATCAAGTCATCCATCAGTGGGCATCTGGGTTACTTCCACCTTTTGGCTATTTTAAGTAATGCTGCTATGAACATGGGTGTACAAATATCTGTTCAAGTCCTGCTTTCAGTTCTTTTGTGGACATGGCCTTTGACTTACCCCTTATCAGTCAAGATCCTGACCTTGGGTATGGAATTTTCTAGGCCAGTTTTTATTCCAACAGGAGGTAAAGAGAACCCCAGGCTGGGCTCATGAGAAATGCTCTGAAGTTGAGGGAGACAAAGTCGAACTCACTGGGAACTCAGGAGCAAGTTCCTGGCCCTTCTTGATGGAGGGCAAACCAGGGACAATGTGGCAAGAAGAGTGGGATGTCCCCTTTGCCTCTGTGGGAGGAGACACATACCACTGCATGGAGGAGAAGAGCAGGACAAGGGAGGCCTCTGTTCCCTGAAAGGGCAGGCATGCCGCAGAGGTGGCCTCAGGGGCTCAAGAAAGGGCAGCCATGGCTGCAGGGGCAGAGGTTATAGAAAGGGGGAAGGTGCCAAGACAGTGCTATTCAGGAGGCCTCAGTAGGAGGGGACCAAGCATGGGCAGGGAGGAGTCTGGAATGCTTAATTTGACAAATGGCTCCCAGCTCATGAGGCGCAAAAGCAGAAATGCAAAGGGGTGGGGTGGGGGGGTTCACTGGAGTATTCTGGGGCTGTAACCTCGGCCTTCGGGGCTTGTGCTTTGGTGTTTAGTGGGAGGGTGGGAAGACTATAGCTGGTGGGCAAAGGTGGGATCTGGACATCTATGAATCCCTCTCACTGTCTGCTGTAAGCAACATCCAACTGGTTATATGATATTTTTTGGTGCCAAAGTGTCTTGGTTCAGGTACCAAATGATGACAGCTTAGGAAGGGAGCAGCCACTAAAGGGAAATCTAATTGCTTCTGTGAAACTCTGGATATCTTAAAGCACAAAGACAACTTAAATGCACCCCTTAAATGTAGGACCAAGGTACAGACTTGCTCTCATTCCAGCCCAAACCAAACTTAGGTGCCCTGCTGATGCTCTGTGAGCCAAGGAGGGCTGCTGGTGGGGGGACAGCTTCAGGGCCCTCCCTTACGGCGACTCCAGTCCAAGGAGCTTCCCTGATTTGAGGCAGATACTCTTGGAACCCCCTCAAGTAAAGTGGGGCCGTCAGGAAGAACTCAGAGGTGAGCTGTCCCCTTAAATCCAGAGAACCCACCTTCCAGGCTGTTCTGGGATCCCAAAAGTCTGTGAGGTCAGCCTGGATTTGGCCACAGTGACATGGACCTGAAGCCAGATCCAGGTGCCAAGGAGCCTGTTGGCTCAGCTTTCTACTAATGCTGGAGCCAGAGCCAAAGATGGCCTCATGTCTGCACATCCCAGTGATGCAATGTCCCTACCCGCACCTCCCCTGCATGTCGGGCCCCAGGGGCTGAGAGCTGTGCACCATACAGGCTCTCCAGTTTGGGATTTCTGGGTGCAAGTCTTCACCCCACACCCTAGTACCGACCAGAATGATGGAAGAACTCATCCATGCTGAGATCCCACAGGAGACCAAAGGCTCCTGAAGAAGTTTCTGGAGGCCATGGTAGCAGCTAGGAGAAGAAAAAACAGGTTATCTGGGTCATTTCTATGAAGTAATAGTTGTAAACCTTTCTACTCCCTTATTAAATATGGCCTGTTTAATCCTCACCAGTCTGCACAGTAAAAGGATATTGTCATTACTCCCATTTCATAGGAACCCAAGCTCAGAGGGGTCAAGCAACTTCCCCATGGTCACACAGCTAGGAAGCAGCAAAACCAGGATCCAATCCTAGGCCTGTGTGACTAGAAATCTCCTACTCTGTCCACTTCCCAGCATGGGAGTCTTAGTCCTTCTGCCCCTCACCCCCTGTGGTCACAGCCATGCCCCTCCAGGATAGGGGCCAGTGTAAGAGAAAGAAAGCACTCAAAAGCACTGACTACAGTTAGCTGCACAGTGATAAGGTGGCCCCTCTCAGTGACCCTCACATCATTCCAGGTCAATGCCTTCACTCAGTCCTATGAGACCACTGATCTGGGAGGTCTTTGGTTCTGAGTACAGACCCTCCAGCCACTTGGCGGAGGGCAAGCCATCCACGTGACTCAAACTCACTGGGATCCTGACTGAATGCTCCTTGACTCTGAAGGTCATAAACTGGCGATTTGGAATGTGAAGAGTATGACATGGAGATGAGCAATGGGCTAGCACCCTTCCCACCAGTGCCATCCACTCTGGGGACACACAGACATGATGATGCTTAGAGGTGGGGCAGCGTCGACAGTCCTGCTCCTGCCTACCGCAGGCCACGCTGTGCATTACACCATCCTCCCAAGCATGCTGAGAGCTCAGTGTTGTGGACACTCTGGGCTTACCCTCCTTCTGGACCGAGGCTCTCATCTCCAAGGGTGGGGTGGTGTTGGTGGGGGGGCTCTGAGCTGAGTCCCTCTCTGGGCACTGACCTTAGAGGAAGGGCCGTCTCCAAGTGCAACCCTTTGGATTATGCTGAGCACCATGGCCATTCTGTGCATTTACCTGGGACACGTTTTTCTAAAATCTTTCTATCCCCAGAGTTTAGTATATAGCAGGTCCTCAACTGACATCTGCAAATGGATGAATGAATGCTATTGTCACTGTGGGAAAATATGTTCCAAGTGGCAAGAAAACCAAAACCTGAAGAGTAAAGTTATCAGAGTCCATCCTGCTTAGGCCTGTAGTGTGACCACGAGTCACAGTGCTTGGTAGATGTCAGCTGCCCTGTTCCTTCTTCTGCTCCAGAGACAAAGATGTTGGGCAGGGTCTTACCCAGAAGGCTCCCAAGGCCAAGTGCACCCCTTTCACTGACCTGACTTCAGTTGTGGAGTGAGGAGGAGCTTATGCTTCTCCTTCCTGAAGAGGGAGAACTAGACCTCTGCACTAACTTCATTCCTTCCAGATGATGCTCAGGCCCTGGCAGAAACGTAAGGGGACCACAGGGACAAGCAGATCACAGGACCTTTTCATTTAATTTTCACATGGGACTACAGACCCAGTTTACAGAGTAAGAAACAGGTACAGAGCTGATATTAAATAACTTTCCCAAGGTCACACAGTAGTAAGTGGTAGAGCCGAAGTCACTTCCTGGCTGGGTCCTCTGTTGTACAGCCTGTCCAGTAAGAGGTGGGAGAAGGGGCAGGACGAGGCACCCCTCCCAGGGCCGTGTCAGGGCACACAAGGACCCTCTGTGGGTGACAGCTCAGACAGGCTCTTTGTGTCTCCCAGTGCCTGACTGTGTTGTGTCATACACTGTACAAGGAGCAAAGAGAAGCAGCACTGACAGGACCAAGAAGAATGGCCACACTGTTCCCAGTTACTAGCTGCCATTCCCTCCAGGCCTGGGGGAGGGGAAAGGCAATGGGAAGGATCCTGGGAAGAAGAGAGGGCTGGTGGGCTCTTTCTGGAAGGCAGCCAGTCAGTCCAGGCTGTTGTTCCTAGAACAATCTACCCCGGCTCGGGAGCTCTAATTCATAGCTGAGGTCCAGGATCCAACTGGCAAGAAGGAGACAAGCTGGGACTTGTGACCTGCCCATCCCCAGGCAGGGACAGTGCTGGGTGGGGGCCAAGGCCGGCATCCTCATGCCTTGCATTCAAATCACAGCAGCTGGTTTCTGGACCATCCCTGCTGGCTTCTCTCTTTCTCAGTGCAAAGGTTTCAAGCCTGGGGCAGAATGCATATCTCCCTAGGGCAAAATATTGCACCAGCAACTCTAAGGGAAGAAACAGGGAGACAGAACAGCTGTTCTAGGCTTTTCCAGCTGACCTACAACTCCGCAGAGGGGAACAAATGCTCAAATGCTCAAGCACCGGTGGCTCTGAATTTGGGAGGCCCTCACCCTCCAGGCGCACTGTAGGGCTGCATGAGGCCAGGGCAGGACCCAGCCTCAGAGGGGTAAGGGTGGACACCACAGCAGCACCTGCTGAGCAGCGCAGACGGAACCACAGAGAGGACTTCTGGTGGCACAGGAAACACCCTTTGAGGCGCGCACTCTGTGGGGTGCAGCGTGACTAGTCTGCTCCCAGCGCCTCCCTGACTCTGTCATCATAGGCCTCCTCCCTCCTCTTGCCTCAGAGAGGACAAACTCAGCAGCACCCAAGGCCAGAAGAAGGTAGGTGCCCACAGCCCCACCTGCCAGCAGCGGACAGACGAAGCAGCAGGAACGTTCCCACCATTTAGCGGCAGGTGTGCGGTGCTCACCTGGAAGAGCCACTGCAGCACAGGCACGGGGCAGTCGGCAGTGTGCAGGTAGAGGTTGCTCTGGAGGCCGCTGCGCAGGAAGGAGAGCTGCTGGGCCAGCGAGGAGCTGCAGGGGCAGAGGGGCAAGGTTAGGGGAGGCCCTCAGGCTCGTGGCCTGGGAGCCTTCTGCAGCATGCCTGTCTCACCATGGGGGATTTTCATATTTCAGCCTCACGGGACACCAGGATCACATCAGTACACAATTGCTACAGATAAAAGTGCTCACAGCCCCCATGCAAGGAAGGAAGGCAACCCCAGCCACCAACAGGATCACACACTCTCACACCATCTAAACACATGACTGGAAGGTACATTTGTCCTTTCCAGTTGAGGGAGGGGGAAAACAGGGAGTAAACCAAGATTGCGAAAAGATCTGTGTGGAGGTGAGGTGAAAGCCCAGGAGTCACACCTCCCAGTCAAAGGCTCCCGGCTGCAGCCAGCAGGCTGAATTACTCGGGGGGCATGTGGGGCCCACATCCAGGCTCTGGTTACACAGAGCATTTCTGCCCCAGGCCTGTGTTTTTCTGAAACAAAGGGGACACCTGAGAAGATGGGAAAATAACAAAAGGGGCCCAAAATGGGGAAATTCTGGGAAGGAAATAACAAGGGTGCCACAGAAGATTCCTCAGAAGCCATGTGAGCAGCAACTTTTGCAGAGTCAAGGGGAATGGAGTTTAGGCTGGCCTCGTGCCCGTGGCCATACCCTGCATTTCCTTCCACCATGGGGTCTTCTGGGGCCTCTTGTTTCTGGTAGGTGCTCTCAGTCAGAATGCTGGTGTGGAGAGGAGCCATGCCTGGGGCACACTGCTGCCTGGCAGATCATCTGGACTAACAGGATCCCAAGTGCCTATGAACCAAAGAGTTGATACTTCTGGCAGTTTTAGGACCCCTGGTGGAAGGTGCTCCAGAAGTCATCTCAGAGGGGCTGGCTTGACTCATCACCCTCCCTGGACTCCTGGTCATGCTGAGAGGCTGGGTTTGGTGTAGGGTTTTCTACTCTCTCTACATTTTGTGAATGCTCCTTTGCTTTCTTTTTCTAGATAATATCCTAAAAGCAATTAATATGGATTCCAGGAAATTAGTTTGGTCTTTTTAATTGACAAATTTGTACAAACAACATTTCAGATAGCATTTAAAGCCATGACTCTAGATAGACATTGCCTTGGTCAGCCCAATCCTCCTCTTCTCCTTTTTAAAAAGACATATTTTAATCTGCCAGGAACAGAAGGCTCCAAAGCAAAGATTCTCCTCTGAGCCAAGCTGCTGTCTCCTTGACTATGTCCAGGCAATTTACAAATTGTATATATTTTCCAAATCATTTAAGTTCAGAGGAGAATGTGGCTTTGTTCCTGTGTCTGTGAAGCTAACAATTCTAAAATAGACCTTTATTTGTATATACAAACACGTGTGTACCCCAGGGCTGCTGGCACACTCCACTCTGTTCCATGTGCTTAGTCACACCAACACTTTCATGAACTGACCCCATGATGCATGCATGATTCAAGCACACCCCAAATGCAGACAATACCCAAGCAAACACTGTCTGGAAGACCTTACAAATTGGCAGGACCTGGCCTGGAGCCATGTGGCCAGGAGGCTGGTGCTCTGGGGATTCAAGACTCCGGCTCTGGCATTCTGTTGGGGGGCACCTGACCAGCTTCTCAGTAGGAGAATTGATTGTATAAGCCCCTGTTGGCTCAGATCAACGAATTTCCAACTGCTGCTTTGAGAGAAAGACATCCCTAGGGTTACAACATTTCCCTTTTGCTACAGCCTTGCAGCAGTTTCTGCCAGAAAAATGATCACTTTGCCTTCAAGTTCATTGCTGCCGAGTTAGGTTTTGTCTGTAAGAAGAGCAGCAAGAGATGGGCAGAAGGGGCATGGTCCAGGGGTGCTTTGAAGTGAATGGCTTCTAAAGAATTCTGTGCCTAGAGCTAGATGAGATGCAAGGAATCTCCTCTGCAGGCTGGGTCACAAGCCAAGTGTGCATGTTCAGTGTAAGGGTGGTGCTGCTTCACCTCTGCTGACCACAAGCCCTCTGACTGTTCAAGGCCAATGGCACAAGTCACCTCTAACTTAGTGGAAGGGCAGGGCCAGCCTTGCATGCAGACACTGCCTTGATCTGTGGGACAGTCTGCAGGCAGCACCTGGTGAGAGGAGAAGGAAGGGGGTGGGAGGTGTGTGCATGGAAAGCTCAAAAACTTTGGGTTACAGAATGAACTGCTGTTAGATTTACAAAAACCCATATCATGTCCACATGAATGGTGATGCTGGGCCTAAGGGGGTGCCTACAGGTGACCCTAAGAGTGTCAGAGGACCCTGGAGCAGGAAGAGGAGGACAGGGCCTCTTCTGAAGCAGATGCCATGCAGGCCTGGTTGAGAAAGAAGCCCTAGCTGTCAAACCTGAGGATCCCAGTGAGGAGGCTCCCACCCAGGACCAGGACACTCAGAGTCAAGAATACTGTGAATCCCCAGCTGCCATGACAAGGACAGAGGACCACAGAAACACATGGAAGGAAGGGGGAAAAACAGCCAGAGGGGAATCACACTAAACCATGGGCCAGCATGGGTCAGCACGTTGGGCCTCTGGGCAGAGCTCTGACCTTCCACTTGGGCTGTGCAGTCCTGGATAATGCCCCAGGGATTCTTCTACGTCCTCATCTGTTTTATGGGCAGCAGTCCCGAAGGGCAAAGTGTCTTTATTGCTTTGGGAATGCCGAGGTTACTTATGCCAAGTGATGGCAGAAGGGTAAACACCAAGTATAGTTATTTATACAGTATCAGTTTCTGTATCTCTGCCAAGTCACTCAAATAAAAAGCTTAAAATGCAAAGGGAGGACAGAAACGAAGAACGGTCAGAGCTTTCATTCCTGCTCTTCTTTTTCTTTCCTCCCTTGTGGGCACTGCTCCAGCCAGAAACCCAGAAACCCCAGCAACAACCTAGCTGGCTGGTTTCGCTAGCTCTTCATTATGAGGGGCAGCTGCAGCCAGCTGGGCTGCTCAGCTCTGTCTATACTCTGTAACTGCTGGGTTTACTTCACCCAGGCTTCCACCTCAGCAGGCCAGGAAGAGGAGGAGGCCTTGGCAGAACAAGAGCTGGGGCTGTAGGCCTCGGGGAGATCTGGTGCACACGAACCGTTCACGTCAAGGCAGCTCAGACCCACTGCTCTGTCCTGCCTGCTGGGGTGTTCACAAAGGAGGGCCCCAGCCAGCCATCCGGCTCCCTGAGAATACCCCACGAACACCTCACAGGAATAGTGGCAGATGCACCCAGAGGACAAACGGACCCTGACCCTCCCTCACGCACTGTGGGAGCCCAGGAAGCCCACGAGTAATTTGGCAGGCAATCTCCACCCTTCTCAGGCAGCTTGCTCCTGCATTTGAGCTGCCTGTGGGCATTGGTCCTGAAGCTTTTCCACGGGGGATGGGAATCAGATTTCTTTTTAAACTGTTGTCAAGGGAGGAGAAAGAGTTCAGCCCCTGGTATCAACTTCTGTGATGAAGGCATGTGACTCTGGTCCCAGGGCACCTGAGGTCACACACCCAGCCGGGTGATGAATGAGAAAGGATGGCCAGGCCATCTGCAATCCCACAGCTGTGTGTTCCAGGGAGCTGTGTTCTTGCACATAAATTCGTGTAGGTCCAATCTGGGAGGGCAAGGCCTCTGACACAAGGCTGCCCGCTCTGGCTCTGCGATCTGAGACAAACCGATTGCTTAATCTGTGCCAAGATTTTCCACTTGGTACAGTGGGAAGAAAGATAGTATCCCTTTCACAGAAAGGTAAGAAGTGAGTCTCTTTCAAGAAGAGATTTTTTAAAATTCCATTCACAATTTTTCTAAAACCTCTAGTGAATAATGAGACATGTTCACTATAGAAAGTTTTAGAAAACAGTATAATTAGGAAAATAAAAGTTACCCATAACCTCACATACGTCTTAACTTTTTGTACAGCAAGAACCATACTTGCTTGAACCATAGTGCTTTTTTTTAGAGATCAAGTAACCTTTTATTCCTCCTCAATTTTCATGTTTCCAGCTGAACACAACAGACAATTATTGAACAACTAGTATTTCCCACTCTTGTGTCTAGACCCGAAGTCCTTGGCACAAACAGGAAATAAAATACCCCAAGGCTAAACAGTGACCTTCAGGAAGTGGCCCTTATCCACTGCATAGTGAGAGTCCCCTGATCTGATGGTAAGGTGGTGGGCATTCCTCCAGAAAGCCCCTTGATCTGAGGGGCTGGCAAGGCCATCCCCTCTGTGCTTCACTAGCATACTGGAGGGAGGAGGGTCTGAATTCCTCACACCAGGAAAGCTGGCCAGCCACCTGCTCCACTTGGCAGGGCTGCTCTGATCCCAGGTCACTGCTCCACGGGCCATCTCATCTGTCAAGCACTTCCTGCCAGCCGTCCAGTCCTAGACAGAGAAAACCTACTGTCGCACAAGCCACTGCTGAGGCAGCTCCGGAAGACACCTTCCTGTTCTCTCCTCTCCGTCCCAGGCCTGCCCAGCCCATTCTTTATCCTTGTTCTTTCCCCAGCTCTCCTATCTTTCTTCTTTTCTCTTCATTCCTTTTTTCCCCCTTTTCATCATCTCTTAATTAGAACCTTTTCAATTTGGCAATGTGAACATTTACCAATATTCATACACTCAGAACCAATCACCTCACGTCACATCCAGGGATATATTTCAGACCTCCGGACAAATATTTATGTATAAAGATCTTCTTTACCACATTCTTATAGCAGGGAAATAACATAATGTCAAGTAAAATGAGCAAAATGATTAAACATGTTGGGGCATCAATGCCATACAATATTATTTCACCATTTTTTCACATTTCATTGTCATTAACATTACGTGGTCTAACTGCAATGTTTGGATCTTGTTTAGATCCTGATTTGAACAACATATAAAAAAATAAGATAAGGAAATCTGAACACTGATGTGAAGAAACTATAGTTTTTAGGTGTAATATAGTATTTAAATCATACCTAGAGACACAAACTGAAGTACTTACAGATTAAATTATATGCATCTTGGATTTACTTAAAAATAATCCTGAGGGAATAGTGTTAGTGGGCAAAGGTAGAGACGAAACAGATTGACTTTGAGTTGAGAATCGATGAAACTGGGTGACGAGCACATGGAGGAACATCACACTGTTCTGTCTGCTTTTATGAGTGCTCAATGTTTCCATGATAAATGGCTTTAAAGGAAACATATCAAAATGTTATCTTTCTATTATAAAATAAGGTGGATTCAGAATTAATGAAATAGACATAAGAAAGCCCTGAATAGCTGGAAAAGAGAACCAGACGCCTGCTTTCAAGAGGCCAGAGAAGCACCCCACCTCTGCTCCTCCCAAGAGGCGGTGGGTCAGGGGGTCGCTCCTCCAGCCCAGGAGCCGAGGCCCAGCAGGTCACCCACCTGGGTGGGCACTTGGCGAAGGCCACAGCACTGAATCCTGTGAGCTTTCCCTCCTAGTCTTCGATATACAAACTCACAGTTACAAATATTGGATGTTACTGTGGTAAAGTTTTAAAAAATCCTCTTTAAAATTTTAAAAAATTAGTTATGTGATAACAGTCATGAATTTACTTCCACAGAGAAGAACAAGGCTACTGTCCTGATGTCACACAACATTGCTTGTGGGGGGCTAGAGGTATCCATTTCAGAGTGAGTATCACAGCCTCCAAAAGTCAGTGTTGCCAACAATCAGGTGGGAGTGAGGATGACATGCTCTGGAAAGCTGCCGAATGGCCCAGGAAGTGGCTCCAGTGCTGGGGGAGGCATAACCCCAAAGGCATGTATGAGTCTTACTAAAGAAGTTTCATGAAGTGGGGTGTAGGGGAGCAAATACATGATATAACATATGCTCTGATGTAGGATTTTCAGAAGTACATGAAGTCTCAATTAGTACATTAAATGTAAGTAGACGTGTGTTATTTCATCTATATCCATAAAAGTTGCCACATCCGAATTGGCCAAAACACAGATTGGATTTCGTCAGTGGGGCTGGTCCTTATCCCTCGGCTCCATGATGAAAGGGGTCTGGCCATACTGCCAACATTGACCAGAAGAACAGCTCTTCCAGGTCACACTGTGGCTTCAAGTGTGAACAATCCAGGATGCAAGGCAGGGGGTGATGCCTGGGTAGAAACACAGTCTCGCCTGGATGCACTGCTGGGAGGGCCCGTGGTGACACGAAGCACTCCACCAGCGTCCTGGCAAAGCAAGAGGCAGGAGTCACGTTCACGCATCAGCAGGCTCACCTGGTTGGCAGCCTGGAAGAAGGTGCCCTGCAGCCATGGCCTGATGGGGATACCAGGGGGGATAGCGCCACCTGCTGACAGAGGAAGAGCCCACAAGATGCAGACCAGGGAGCCCATCCCCTTCCTGTCGTACACCGCCCCCCTCCCTTAAGGCCTCAGTCCCTGAACCAGAAGTCCTGGTCCCAAGCCCAACTCCCCACCCCCGTCGGCTCTGTTCAGCTCAGACTTTCACTGAGTGCCCACAAGGTATGGGTGCCAGGTGCTAAAGGATGAGTCAGGCGTGCGCTGCCCTGGCAGGCCCAGGAGAAGTGTAAACAAATCACTGCAATACCCTTCAGCAAGTGGACCGGCCACAGAGCTGCCTACACGACTGGGGCAGAGGAGAGATGCCAGGAGCAGCCAGGTCAGGGAAGACATCTGTGCCACAAAGGATCCTCCACTCTTCCTCTGGACAGCAGTCCTGAAGCTCCTGGGACCGGGAGGACTCCCCAGTCCTGGGAGTCTGACTTAGTCAGAGCTGGGCCCCACAGACAGGGAAAGAACAGAGAAGAGGGGGCGCGCTGAAACTCTATCAAGGTGGGGAGGGCAGAACTGTCAGGACTCACTGGCCCACTTAAGAAGGAATAGGGGAAAGGGGGTAAGTTAAGATGATTCCTCAGAGTGAGGTAAATCTCTGCACCCTGAAGGACTAGAATGAACACAGTACACTGGTGGGTGAAAACAGGAAGTTGCAGAATAGCAAGTGTGTGTGTGTGTGCACACAGACACATGAACACATACTTTCTTAGACACAAGTAATACCCCACACACATCAGACACACCCAATTTTGATGCAGGGTCATTCCTGGGACACAGGATTTGGGCAATGGGGAAGGAAGAGGAGACATTCCTGCTCACTTCATACACCTGTGTGCTGCTTGACTTTGCGGTGACATGACACACACTTAATAATAAAATGAAACAAGATGGGGCAACACATACCCTCCTCACACCAGAGGACAACCCTACCCGGTTCCGGCCAGGCTCTGAAACAGTGGACTAGGAGGGGAAACAGCACTGGGGGCCCCCGTTAGGACCTGGGACACAAGCAGGTGGCTCACTGCTGGCCAGATGAAACCTGTCCCACTTTCTGGCCAAGGGACCTAATGTAAGGCACCAACATGTATCACGGAATCATCCTGAGGACAACACGGCACATCGGATGATGGGAATGACCCTGGAAAACCAGAGAGGCTCTGATATTGCAGTCTTCGGGAAGCAGCCTCAGCAAACCACCACACAGATGGTAAAACAATTTTCTGTCTTGTTAATTTCTTTAAGTTTCTGAATAGCAATGGCTTTTTAGTTGCTTTTATAATTTAACAAATGTACAAGTCATTGGAAGTCTGGAAGGACCAGGCTTATCCGTAAAAGGATCTTAGCCCTGTCCCTCAAACCATCGCACAAAGGGACTTGTGTGATATTAAATATAATGCATGTGCATTACTGAGAGCTGAGATGACTCTCACTCGTCTAATTGAGGATTTCCTGTGCAGCCCAAAATAAGGATAAAGGACGATGTTGTGGTTTAAACATCCTCCCCTCCCCTGCCCCAGCATACACATAAGGTCTTTCAACTTTAAGAAATATAGAACACAGGACGGCATGCATTCAAGATGCAGGCCAATCTTTAGAGAATGAGTGGATGCTCTGCTCTGAGTGTTCAGGGCTCCTTTCTGTGATGGGCAACTGTGGCAGTCATGCGACTCCTGGTCACAGGACACTTGCCTGGCAGAAGGTGGTGAGCCCCCAGCTTCAGCCGCACCCCTTCCAGACCCACATCCCTCTTTGGCCCCTCTAGCCCCATTCAGGGATGAAGGGGCTACTGGTTTTGAATATCAGTGAGTAATTTTCTTTGAAGCAGAAAGTTGAACTGTCCCATTAAAATGATCCCACATCAAAACAACCACCTCAAAGCAGCTGTTGTCAAAAAGGCTTTCTCAAAGTACCACTTCAAAACATCATGTGGCCAGAAAATTATCAGTGATTTCAAAGTCTGAAACACCTTCTGTCTTAAGCTAGTCATCCAGATAACTCTTCTCTGGAAAATTTCAGCACATCCAAGCAATGACTTCTGGAATCCTGGATGTACTCAGTAGAAAGGTAAAAAGCTATAATAACTATTCCTACAGCAGAGATTTTTTTAAAAGGCCTTAAAAGGTTAATTCCAAGGCTATCTACCTTGTGAGTAGGGAACCTAGAAACCAAATCTACAAGTTCCAGCTGCAACAGAAAATGCCTTTTATCACTTGTGATACCACCAAGACACTCTTGTCCAGGGAGGCCTTAGCCTAAACCCACTGATTTCAGTCTTCACATTTCACCACATCTTCCGGGAATCACCATGGGACTCGCAGTCACCCTTGCCCTGCGTCTCTGGGCAGTGTGAGTAGCTCTCTGCCTACCTGGAATGGCTGTTCCAATATGAACATTCACAGATTTCCACAGGGAAAACTGGTACCAGTTAAGAGGCAGGTCCTCCTAATCTAGGCTTGGGATCAGCAAACTACAGTCTGCAGCCAACTCCTACCCGTTTCCATAAATAAGGTTATATTGCAACATAGGCATGACTGCTCATTTATGTGCCATCTATGGGAACTTCCCCTTCACAACAGCAGAGCTGAGTGGTGGCAACAGTATGGCCCTCAAAGCCTAATATAATATCCTTACTATTTACAAACTTTACAGAAAGCTTGCTGATTCCTGATCTAGTCCAGAGAAGATCCCAGGGGTGGGATCAATGGGGGCGGCTTGCACACCATCAAATGAGCTCTTCGATCCTGTACCTGCCCCTGCACATTCTAGCCAAGGTCACGAAGTCTTCCCCAGTTTCATTAAAGACAACTCCCCTGGCCCAGTTGCTCAGGCCCAGATCCTTGGGTCTCCATGAGTTCTCTTTCACCCTCCATCTAGCTCATTATCAAGTCCTGTCAGCTATGCCCTGAACATATATCCGGAATTTGCCTCCTGCCCCCCACCCTACCCTAACTTGTCCGGGATTACTGCGGTGGCCTCCTCCTTGCCCCGATCTCCTTTCTTCCACCGCACCCCCCCAACCCTCCAGCCTATCTCTGACACAGTGCGGAGGATCCTGTTCAGATGGATGATGGCCAGCTCAAACAGAGGAAAAGCTCTGGCCCCGAGCCCTCCCTTAGCCTCCCTGCCCTCCTCCCCCACCTGCCCCCTCACTCTCCCACAGCACACCCTGTGTGCCCCCACTGCAGGACTGCCTAGAGCTGCCTCCCGCCTTCTTTGAGGCTCTGCTAAAAGTCAGCTGCTCACAGAGGCCTTCCCTGACCCCTCATCCAAAATCTCACAACCTCCCACACTCCATAGGCCCCTCCTGTCTTCTTCCCACTCAGCAGAGTCACATCTTCCCACTGGTCATGTTCAGGTCATCTCCCTAACTTGAAAGCAGGCAGCACGAGGGCAGAGATCCTGCTGTCCCAGAGTCTGTCACAGAGCCTGCCACAAGGTTGGCATTCATATGTGTTTGCTGGATGGACAGACAGAGGGACGGATAGGCAGATAACAGGTCTTCTGAAGACGGATTTCAATTGCATCTTTAAGACAGCATGGTACAGATGAGTCCAGCCCTCCCTCCAGTCAATGGCCAGTTAAATCAGGGCCCGCGGACCCCTGCCCACATGACAGCACTGACAAAAGTTACTTTGTTTCCCCAGGCAGGGAAGATTAAAGATGTCATGTGGCCATTATTTTCCCCTTCAGAAGCAGTTTTCATTTACACTGTGATTTTGTGTAGTTATTTTCCCAAGACATCTGATTCTGTTAATATGGGTTGACAGTTGGGGTAGAGCAGGCCATGTTTTACATCTGTTTGTCCTCAAAGACCCATAGGTGATCAAGTATTTCTGGAGATAATGAATGAATATGGGTTTAAGAGAAGGAGGCAGCTTGAAAACTCATAAATGGACACAAATTGCTGGCTGAAACTCTGAAAAGCTGAAAACTGAAAGCTGGTCAGCACTTAAGAGGCAGGTGCAGAGACTCCACCCCAAGGGGACAGGTCCCTACCCACAACCTATGCCCACTCTGCCTACCTGTGCTCTGGTATGAGAGGCACTCCATCTTCGCTGAGATCCAGGGAGTCAGGGCTGGGACAGTCCTGCAGAAGCAGCTTCTCTCACTCCCGCTACAGGGCCTGCTCCCTGCAGGAAGACGAGAGCCGGCAACAGCGCTGTGCCTGCCATTCAGCACCCCCACTGGGCTGCAGAGACCTCGGGAACAGGGTAGAGCCTAGGAATGTGGGACCAGAGGGCAGTGCTGCCCTTGTCTCCTTGCACAGAGGCCTTCTCTGTTGTTCCCTCGGGCTGTTGAGGGAGCCTCAGGAGCCTCCCCAGCCCTTGCCCTGCCCTCCAGGGGCTCGCCCTGGCTTTCCTCACAGGTCCTCAGTTCCAAAAGATGTCATCTCCAAACCAGGCCTCCATCCTCACTTCAGGATGATTTTCAGCTCAATATGCCCGAGCCCCTCTAATACATGTCTAATTCTGAGTTCTTCTCCACACAGGCCCTAGCATCCCAGCCATGCAGTTCAGCACATTGATCAGGAGCCCCTCACCCTCCTCCAGGGAATGCATCTCATCACCACTACCTACTTTCCTATCCTGCCCTTTCCATCCCTTCTCCATAACGCAGGAGTGCCCCCCACCCCCTGCCATTCCTAGGCTCTACCCTGTTCCCTGAGCCATTTCTCTTAAAAACACACAGCCACTACCTGCTTAAAATTCTCCCATGACTGCTCCTTGTGTTCATGAGGCCCCACATGATTTACATGGTTCACACCAGGTATCCACCCCAACTCTCCCTTCCCCAGCACTGAAAATTTCAGTCTTAGCCAAACACCAGAATGTCTTTCCCACACACCTTTACATGTGTGGTTGCCCACGCCATCCCCCAAGTTTCAAGGATAAGGACACCTCTAGGGAGCCCCTTCTGACCCCCAGGTTAAATTAAGGACCACTATTCTGGGCCCCTCCATAGCAACTTTACTGCATTGGAAATACTACAGTCATTACGTTAAATCACCAGGCGAGCAGGAGCTATGCCACCATCTCTCTATGTCCAGTGCCTGGCAGAGGGCTCAGTGCAGAGCAAAAGCACCCAAATGCCAGGTGCACTGATGCGTAAGCATGCAGATTCCCCACAACTGTTCACTTTTCTGGCTTGGGGAGCAGAGCATCTACGGCCTACCTCAAACTCTGGACTCAGAGACATTTTCCCCAACCCCAGCCTGGGACCCATCCACTTCCCATGCTCAGCCAAAACTGAGGCCTGGGACCAAGGTTTTCTCAGATCTTGAACCCTGGACCAAGGCCCAAGCTTGGAACCCAGATTGAGGCACTGCCGAATCCTGAATCTAAGACCCATGTGCCCAGTTCTCATGTGGGCAGAGGATTCAGGTATTGTGACCCTGTTGAACGCTTGGTCTGTGGTGACCCCAAACACTCACCAGTCCCAGCTCTGCTTAGGGACTCTATGTCTCCACTCCCTGAAGTCCCACAGTGGAGAGGACCAAGGGGTAGGGTGGGATAAGGGCCAACCAGGAACGGACAGGCACATCAGTATTGCTGCAACAATAAAGGCTGTTGCACTGCTTGAGACAAAAAAAAAAAAGAAAGAAAGAAAAAGGGGGGCCATCTACTGTATTTACAGCACAGTGCTGGGCCCTGGAAATATATACACATGGCCCCTACCTGAAACTCTTAACTAGAAGGAAATACACCCAGGCAAAAGAATTAAACAACTAAAGTCAGGGGCTACCACTAAGAGTGGAGAGGAGCAGCATGGACAGGGGAGATGACTCAGGTGGGCCAAAGGGCCAGGAAGGGACAAAGGACTGGGAACGGGAATTCATCTCCCACAGGTGTAACTCTCTCCTGGGGGTAAGAACACAGGGCTGGGAACTCTAGAAAACAGGAGGGTGCCATCATTCTTCCCTGCCGGAGAGGCATGGCAAGACCTGAAGCACTAGACTTCAGCAGCACCGCCCCTCCCTGCAATTGCCTCCTGCAAAGGGAATATGTACGCACAAAGCAAAACCCAACAGGAGGGTGTATGGGACAAAGAAGAATGAAGCATATGCGCAATCTGCATTCATTCCACCAAAGAGCATGCCCCCAGCAGGAAGTCTGCCCCCGAGCAGGAACATGCTGTCCTGGGGCCCCAGTCCTTGCTCACCCCATGTCCTGCACAGTGTGAGAAGCCTACTCTGTGGAGTAGGGTCCTACCCACATGGGCCCTCAGTGAACGCCAACCACTTCACCTGGTCTCCAACACCTCTACCTCCTTAGGACTTCCAATTCTGATTAGACGTGAAACTAACTTCTACGTGAGATGCAGCTCACTGCAACACCAAGGAGAAAGTGGCCATGACCTACGAGCTCTGGGAAAATGAGCACAGTGCACCCAAGTGCTGCTCAGAACACGAAATGCCAGGTTCCCTACATCTACCCACAGCACCATCAAGGCAACAGTCATGCTGAACGCCTCAGTGCCACAGCTGCCTGATCTGCCCATGGCTCTCTAACAGGACACTGGAATGGGAGTCATGAGTTCCCAAACTGGCATGAACAGAGGCAAGGTGAAACAGCACCAGGGACAGGGGCTCTGTATGTAGTGGGGGTACAGGGCTCTCTGCCTTGGAGGGGCCCCCTTGAGCTGGCTGCTGTCCCATGCGCTTGTTATTAATCACACAGGGCACTCCAGGAGGCACACTGTGAAGGGTGGGGGTAGGCTGTTTCTTCCCAATAGGAATTTGTTCGAAGTAAGCCCTTTACTTACTTTGCTTACTTTTCTGAATAAGCAGTACATTCACATGATTAAGAAATCAAAAAGTGTAACACCACACAGTGAAACATCTCTCCTCACTCCGCCCCCAGTCCTCCAGCTCCCTCTGACAGGTGGCCACGGGGGTGCAGTATGCTTTCAGGGACAGCTCCTGCACAGGCAAGCACACAGTAGCATGTTTTGGAGTCTTCCTCAAACTAACAGCAGCACACTGCAGCCCGCCCTGTACTGGGCCCTCTTGAAGGCCATTCCATGACAATACTACAGAGATATCTTTTTAAAAAACATTGTAAAGGTATTCTGATGCATGACTAGAACATAGTTCCCTAGTGGTAGGCATTTAGGTTATAGACAATCTTGGGCTATTACCAATAATTGAGCCCTACTCTGAGGGTAAATTTCCTGGATTGATGGGTCCTTAAATGCCCTCCCCACCACAATCTATCTATCAACAAGAGTTTATTCCCAGCTTGATGTTCATCACTGAACATTTCGCTAGGGATCCTGACACACTGGACCACAGTCAGCCTGAGTCTTTGTGCCTGACCTAGCCCAGACCCCAGCACCGAGGTCCTTCCTTGCTGCCCAGCCACAGCCTCAGCCTTAGTTGTGAAAGTCTTGAAGGGCCCCACACGAGAGAGGTGTCAAATTTGGCACCACACCAAGCCCTCTGTTAGCAGAGGTTAGGAACAGAAACAAAGGAAGAGGTACGGCCCAGCTTGGGGGTTCAACTTCCCAGCCAGGAGGGCCTGAAGGCTGTAGAGAGGCTGGAGGAACATGGGGGGCGGTGGTGAGGCTGAGGAGTGATAGCCATGGGAGGTGGCCCAAGGGCAGTTGGGGTATGACTGAGGAGGAGCCAAAAAGGGGTGGCCTTGGGGTGACTAAGGAGAGATGGCTGAAGAGAGTGGTAAGAAGAGAAGGCTAAAGGGTGGCCACTGGCTTACCAAGGTGCAGCCATCCACTGGAGCTGCAGCCTCCTAGCTCGGGCCTGGTGTGTTCCAGAAAGGCTCCTCCAGTGAGGCCAGGCCCCTCTTGGGTTCTGAGTCCTGGGGCTGCTGCTCTAAGTACTTGGGCAGCTGGAGGGCCAGTCTCCTCGGCCCCTGAGGCCCTGCTCTGCCAATCCACCCGTGGGCCGAGGCCATCCTGCTGGCCTGTGGTGACCCCATGTTCAGGAACTCCACAGGTGGTGGGCTCCAGTCAGTGGGGAACATATCCCCAGCTGCTTGCATCCTGGGCTTCTTGGACCATCTGGGAGCTGAGGTGGGGTTGCGTAGGTGCCGGGTGAGGTGGGGGAGCCCCTGGTGCACAGGATGGTTTAAGCAACTGCCCTTCAGGCTAGGCAAGAGGATGGTCATGTCAGCAGCTGCCTGGGCCCCTGGGGATGGGAAAGAATAAGTGGTAGCCCCACCTGACTGCTGCCATCCTAGCCACTGTACCCTACTGGATGAGGAGAGGTGCAACTCAGGATTGCTGTGGGCAGGATGCAAGGAAGTTCCTCAACTATGGGTTTTCCACTCCTCTGTGGCCCCAAATCTCAGAAAGGTCCTACCTGCCAGGTGAGAGATACCTACCTTCTCTCTCTGGAAGGGCTAACGCCACCTGCTGGGGTCTGGCCATCTGCAAGCTGCTGGATGTTTTGCCCTGAAATGAACCGCCTGTCAGATGAGGGGAGCCTCCAGAAGCAGCTAAATGCTCTGCAGCTCTAGACTGCCTAGAGGAGAGGGCCTGGGTCCACTGGTGCCCGGGAGAGAACTCCCCATCCAGCTCCACCCCAAGAACCAAATACATGCATCAAGTTGCTAAGGGCTTGATCTGACCTCTATTTTAAGAATGTGAGGGAAAATGTAAAGACATCAACATTTTTTAAAAGCCTGTATAAAATAAAAAACTAGCACAGCTCAATGGAAAAGTTGTGTTTTTGAGATGATGTCCTGCACATGTTGCTTGCTTGGTGGCACCCCGTAAGGCTGTCTGATCGCAATGGGCAAGGCAGAGCTGTCTGGTTCCTGCCATTTTCCCTGTACCAGTACAGACCTGGCATGCAGGCTTGGTGCATTTATGTTGAATGAATGAATGATTTAAAGAAACCCTAGCCTGGTCCAATTAGCCTCCTTCAGTGTTAGAAGCTGCTGTCTTCAGCTAAGATGGACCATACCACCTATAAAAACATCTCTCATCATATCAAGCCCAGGGTCAGATAAACGGAAATGCAAATGAAAGGCTAATATCTGAATGAGCTAATGTTCAAGGAAACAATACTTTACAAAATATACAAATATTAACTGAACAAGAGTTCAAACTCAACAACAATGAAAGAAATTCAAATCTACTGGATTGTGAAGTATTCTTCAACAATGAAATACTAAAAAAATTTTTTAACGTGCAACAATGTTGATGTGACTATGAAGAAATGCCTGTTGTTAGCACTGTAAAATGTTTTATTCTTCTTAGAGAGCAACCTATCACTATAAAAATAACTGCAAAAATGTCCATACCTGGTAGCAAGAAACCCCAGAACTCTGTCCCTCCTCAAAAGCAATAATTAAGCTGGCAAAACCTGTCAGAACCAACACTGAACAGAACTCTAGAATCTAATAAAAAACCACTGTCAGGGAAATGCTTAATGAAGAAAGAAGCTGCTAAATTTCAGTAAGATTATGGTCTGGGTTTTTAAGGAAGAGTTGTTGTATTTTCAAAAATATATGTGGTTTTGGGAGGAGATTTCCGCTCCTCTACTCACGCTGCCATCTTGGCTCCCTCTCCTATGGTCTGGGTTTTTTATTTACCTGCTTATCACCCACTTTCAGCTCAGAAGAAGCCACAGGGACTTTGTGCGATTTGCTGGGATTAAAGGGGCAATACAAACTTTGTTCTCAAGAATTGTGGTTGTGTGTTTTGACCTGTCTCATGGCTTCCTGAGGGATCTTTGCTGGGTCTTGCCTCTGTTTTACCCCTCTTTGAAAATTTATCAGTACTTGAGTGGCCTCCTGGTAGTATTTTCTGAAAGTATTCAAGGCAAATCTATTAGCCACAGACACCTGGGGCAAGCAGGAGGCAGACTGGACAGCCTGAAAAGGAAGAGTGTGAGGAAGGAGATACATAAAGGAATAAAGGTTTTGAAAAGCTCCCACATAAGCCAGAGTCTAGAAGGCCACATGCATACCACAGGCTGACACGTACTGAGGGAAGACCTGAGAAGACCGTGAGCTTTCACCTCTGGCTCATCATTAGATTCCACAGAACTGGGAAGTGAAGGCTAATGCAGAGTTGCCAAAGACCAGGCTAAGTGCTGAAGGAGCGCTCCGACACAGAGCCCACTGCAAAGACCGGGAGAGTTTTACTACTGTTGTTCTTGTTTGGCTTTAGTCATCTGAGGAACTCTATCAAATCACCAGTTGAGTACTAAGCTAAAGGAACAGCAACTTCAGCAACCACACACAACAAAGGAATAGTTTTTACAAAATAGTTTAGAAAAGTCACTAAACAAACAAACAAGTACCAATACCCCAACTCTGGTAAAGGGTGGGAATCTTATTTCCAGATTTACTGCATTATAATTTTCAGAATTCCCAATTTCCAACAAAAATTACAAGGCATGCAAAGGAATAAAGAATGGCCCATTTATAGGGAAAAAATAAATGGAAAAAAAAACTGATCCCAAGGAAGCCCAGACATTGAACTTATTAGACAAAAACTTCAAATCAATTGTCTTAAATATGCCCTAAAACTAAAAGAAATGATGGACAAAGAACGAAAAGAAATCAGAATGTCTCACCAAGAAGAGAGTAGCAATATAGAAATTATAAAAGGAACCAAAGGGAAATTCTAGAATTGAAAAGCACAAAAACTGGAATGAAAAACTACCAGAAGGTCTCAACACCAGATGTGAACAGACAGAAGAATCGGTTAACTTTTAAACAGGTCAACTGAGATTATCCAGTCTGAGGAACAAAATGAAAAAACAATGAAGAAAATGAACAGCATGTCAGAGACCAGTGGGACACAGTTAAGTATATTAACATATGCATAACAGGAGTCCCAGTAGTTGAGAGAGAGAGAGATGGGGGAGAGGGATGGAAAAAAGATCACCCTTCTGAGCAGCTCAACAAACTCTAGTAGGATAAGTTCAAAGAGATCCACAGCTGCATACATCACAAACTGTTAAAAACTAAGGAGACAGACTTAAAGCAGGAAGAGAGAAGTGATTCACCACCTACAAGGAATTCTCATGAAGACTAACAGCTGATTTCTCAACATAAACCACAGAGAAAAGTAGGCAGTGGGATGAAATATTCAAAGGGCTGAAAGACAAGACTATGGACCAAGAATGCAATAACCAACAAAACTATCCTTCAAAAAAGGAGAAAATAAGATATTCCCAGATGAACAAAAACAGAAAATTTGTTGCTAAGAAACCTGTCTTACCAGAAATACTGAAGTCCTTCAGGCTGAACTGAAAGGGTATTAGAGAGTATTCACATGAAGAGAAAAGAACACTGATCAAGATAATTGGGTGGATATATACAAAAGATAGTACAAATGACTTTTCTTTCTAATTATTTTTGTCCAATCCGACTTAAAAGACACCTGCATGAAGCAATAATTATAAATCTGTCTTGATGGACACAAGATATCTAAAGATATAGTTTATATGACAATAACAGCACAAAGGAGGGAAAAGGAATAGATCTATGTAAGTGCAAAGTTTTTGTATCCTGTAAAAATTAAGTTGGTATTAATCTGAACCAGACTGTGAACTATTTGGTATTTATAGGTAAATAAAAATGCAAGTATTACTGTATTTTTGGCTTTTAATTCTTTATTATTGTATATGACTTAAAAGACAAAACAATATTTTACACCTATGTTAATGAACACACAATGTGTAAAAAGATGTAATTTGTGACAACAAAAACATAAAAGGAAGGGATGGAGTTGTATAGGAGCAGAGTTTTTGTATACGATTAAAGCTAACTTGGTATTAATTCAAATTATTCATTATAAATTTAAAATACAAATTATAATATCCAGCATAACCACTAATAAAATAACTAAAAAATAAAGAAGAAATGAAGAGGGAATCAAAATGGTACACTACAAAAAAAAATCAATGAAACACAAAAGTAGGCAGTAATGGAGGAAATGAGGAACAAAAAAGAAAAGGTTTATTGGAAAGTAATAGCATAATGGCAGAAACCCTTATTAGTAATTAGTTTAAATGCAAATGGTTAAACTCTCAAGTCAAAAGGCAGATAGTGACAAAGTGGATTAAAAAAACATAAGCCAAATATACACTGTCTACAAGACACTCACTTCATAGCCAAAGATACAGAGAGGTTGAAGGTGAAAGGATAGGAAAGATACTCCATGCAAAGAGAAATCCAAACAGTGCTGGAGAAGCTATCCTAATTATTAGACAAAAAGGATTTTAAGTCAAAAATTACTATGAAACAAAGAAAGTCATTAAATATCAATAAAGGGTCAATCATCAGGATGTAACAGTTATAAACATATACTCACCTAAAAATAGAACACCAAATATGTGAAGTCAATTGACAAGAGTGTAAGGGAGAGACAGTTATAAAATATTTGAAGACTTCAATATCTTGTTTCCAATAATGGAACCAGATAGACGATCAAAAGAAAATAGAGGACTTGAACAACACTATAAGCCAACTAAACATGACAGACATATACAAAACACTTCAGACAGCAAAATATACATCCTTTGCAAGTACACATGGAATTTTCTTCAGGATAGATCATATGTCAGGCCACAAAACAAATCTCAATAAATTAAAAAAGACCTAAGTCATATAAAGTATCTTTTTCCAATCACAATAGAAACTAGAAACAACAGATGGAAAATGGGAATTTCACAAATATGTGGAAATAAAACAATGAACTCTAACAACCAATGGATCAAAGGAGAAATTAGAAAATACTTAGAGATACGTGAAAACAGAAACACAACATACTGAAACTTAAAGGATGCAGCAAAAGTAATGCTCAGAGGGAAATTTGTAGCTTTAACTACCTACATTAAAAAAGAAGTTATCAAATTAGTAACCTGACTTTACACCTTAACGAAGTAAAAAAGAAGAGTAAACTAAGTCCAAGTCTTGCAGAATGAAACAGAAATGATAAAGTTTAGAGGTGAGACCAAAGAAACAGAGAATAGGAAAACAATAGAGATAATCAACAAAGCCAAAAATTGGGTCTTTGAGAAGACCAA